AGGATTATTGTGGCAATAGTCCCCCATCATTATTCTTCCTTTTCAGAGATATCCTGGCTGTGATTGCTTGTTATTCTTCCATTTTAACTTTAATTCAGCTTGTCTATTTTCAGAAAAAGAAAAAATATTAGTATTTTGGGGGGCTGGCCTGGTGGCGCAGCAGTTAAGTGCGCACATTCTGCTTTGGCAGCCTGGGGTCCGCCAGTTCAGATCCCAGGTGTGGACAAGACACCGCTCATCAGGCCATGCTGTGGCAGGCATCCCACATATAAAAGTCGAGGAAGATGGGCATGGATGTTAGCTCAGGGCTAGTCTTCTTTAGCAAAAAGAGGAGGATTGGCAGATGTTAGCTCAGGGCTATCTTCCTCAAAAAAAAAAAAAAAGAAAAAATATTAGTATTTTTAATGAGCTTATAGTAAATTTATAAATTAATTTGACATTTTTATGACTTTGAGTCTTCCTATTTAAGAACATGGGATGCCTTTCTATGTGTTCCTTCAGAGTGTTATAAATGTTTTCTCATGAAGGTTTTGGACATTTCTTGTTAAGTTTTTTTCTAGGTATTTCTGTAGACTTAATGTTTGTGCCCCCCCCCCCCCCCCCCCCAAATTCATATGTTGAAACCTAATCCCCAGTGTGATGGTTTTTGGAGGTGGGACCTTTGGGAGGTGATTAGGTCATGAGAGTGGAGCCCTCATGAATAGGAATAGTGCCCTAGTAAAAGAGACCCCAGAAGGGCCAGCCCTGTGGCTGAGTGGTTAAGTTCACGCACTCTGCTTCAGCAGCCCAAGATTTCACCAGTTCCAATCCTGGGCGAGGACCTAGCACCGCTCATCAAGCTATGCTGAGGTGGTGTCCCTCACAGCACAACTAGGAGGACCTGCAACTAAAATATACAACTATGTACTGGGAGGCTTTGGGGAGAAGAAGAAGGAAAAAAAAAATATTGGCAACAGATGTGAGCTCAGGTGCCAATCTTTAAAAAAAAAAAAGACCCCAGAGAATTCTCTTGCCCCTTCCATCACGTGAGGACACAGGGAGAAGATGGCTGTCTGTGAACCAGGAAGCAGACCCTCATCAGACACCAAATCTGTGGGTGCATTGATCTTGGACATCCCAGCCTTCAGAACTGTGAGAAATAAATTTCTGTTGTTTATAAGCCACCCAGTCTATGATATTCTGTTATAGCAGCCCCAACGGACTAAGACAGTATTTTTTCTTTTTTGTTGCTACAATAAATGACACCCTCTTCCATATATCTTCTAACTGAGTGATTTCTATATATTAATTTTATATCCTGCTGCCTTACTGGGTTCTCTTGTTTGTAGTTTTTCTGTTGGCTTGCTTGGGTTTTTTGGATATACAATCTTATCATCAATAAATAATAATAGCTATACCTCCTCCATTCCTATTGGATACTTCTAATTTCTTTCTCTTTTCTAATTACAATGCTTGCTACCTGCAGTACAATGTTAAATTGTAGTGGAGAGAGTGGATATCTTTACCGGGTTTCTGATTTTAGCGTATAATGCTGCTAGTGTTTCCTGGCTAAGTGAAATGCTGGATTGTTGGATTTGGGGAGATAGATATACTTACACACATAATTATATCAAAGAAGAAACCATATATTCCCCTTTTATTGAATTTTTTTTATAAAGAATGGGTGTTGAATTTTGTCAAATGATTCTTTGGCGTCTCTGAAAATGATGATATGATTTTTCTCCTTAGATTTAATAATATGTTAGATTGTATCAATGGATTTCCTAATATTGAATGATTCTTGCATTCTTGGAATAAACCCCACACAGTCATGGATTCTGTTTGCTAATATTTTATTTAGGATTTTGCATTGATATTCACAAGTGAAGGTTGGTCAATATCATTTTCTTTTTCTTGTAGAATCTTTGTCAGATCTTGGTATCAATGTTATACTCACTTCATAACAAGAATTTGAAAGTGTTCCTTCTTTAGGCTCAGGAAAATAAAAGTAGCATTCAAATTATCTGCTTTTTAGTGTTACTAGACTTCCCCTGTGAAAGCATCATGGTCTGGTGCTTTAGGGGGAAAGTAGCCTTTATAACTTTCTCTATTTCTTCCATGGAAATTGGTCTATTTGAACTTTTCTCTTTTAGAGTCAGTTTTGGTAAATTATATTTTCCTAGGATGTTTTCCATTTCTTCCAGGTCTTTTTTTTTTTGAGGAAGATTAGCCCTGAGCTAACTACTGCCAATCCTCCTCTTTTTGCTGAGGAAGACTGGCCCTGAGCTAACATCCATGCCCATCTTCCTCTACTTTATACGTGGGACGCCTACCACAGCATGGCTTTTGCCAAGCAGTGCCATGTCCATACCTGGGATCCAAACCGGCGAACCTCGGGCCACCGAGAAGCGGAACATGTGAACTTAACCACTGCGCCACTGGGCCTGCCCCTCTTCCAGGTCTTTAAAATGATTTGCATAGAGTTGTATGAAGAAGTCTTTTATGATGTTTAAAATGTCCTCTTACTATGGTTGTGTCCAACTTTTCATTTCCTAATTTGTGTATTTGTGCTCTCTCTTTTTCTTGATTATGTTACTTAATGGCTTATATATTTCTTTTCACAGAATCAGCTCATCTATTTATTTGTTGGTTCTACTGTTATCTGTTTCTAACTCCTTTATTTGAACTTTTCTCTTCATTAATTCTTTCCTTCTATTCCCCTTAAATTTATTTTGTTTTTCTTTCTCTAACTTTCGGAGTCGGATGCTTATTCATTTAATTTTTTCCCTTGTTTTTAATGTGAGTATTTTAAGGCTATGAACTTCTCTCTGACCACTGCTTTATCTGTATCCATAGGTTCTGTTTTCATTATCATTATTGTCTAGAAATTCAGTAATTTTGGTTTGAGTTTCTCCTTTGACCCAAGAATTGTTTGACAGAGAGTTTTTACATATTCAGATGGAAGATTCATTTTACATTGATTTCTAGTTTTATCCAGTTGTGATCAGAGAACATTGTATTGGTTCTACTTTTTGGAATTTATTGAGATTTTCTTCTTTGCCAATATTGATTTTGTTGTTTATATATTATGAATATAGGTTTTCTATATTCTTAACATGGTTTTAGTCTTGTCATTCATTTGATCTGTCCTAGAATGAAAAAGGTGAGTAAAAGGTGAGTGTGTTTCAATCTAGTATCTATTTCTCTTTGTATCTCTTAACAGTTCAGCTTTGTGAAGGTTGCTATGTTATTTTGTATGAAATTAGTCATAACTTTATATTTTCATTGTAAGTTGTGGCCTTTTTTGTCTCAATTAATGCTTTTTGTAATAAGCTCTTTATTTTGGAGTAATTTTAGATTTATAGAACAGTTGCAAAGATAGTGCGGAGTTTCCATATACCCTTCACCTAGTTGCCCCTTAGATTAATATCTTATATGACTATGTTTGTCAAAACTAAGAGACTAGCATTGGTACATTACTATGAACTAAACTCCAGACTTAATTTGGGTTTCACCAATTTTTCCACTAGTCATGTGTCACTTAACGACAGGGATACGTTCTGGGAAATGGATCGTTAGGTGATTTTGTCATTGTATGAACATCGTAGAACGTACTGAAGGGGAACAAAATTTGCCACCCCAAAATGTGTCTCTTTAACATGAGGATTATTTTAGGCTGATTATTTTTAAGAAACAAAAGACTCGGAAAGTTTTTCTTGTTACCTCCCCCTTAACTGCCTAAAAGAATTCAGATAAAAAAAACCTGTCTCAGGAAGCGACCACCTTAGTATAACATGAACTAGGTGGTAGACTGAGAGGAGCCTAGAAAAGTCTGTTTGTTGGGCTCCCCTCTGTGTTCTTCTGTTTCTTTTTTGTTGTTCTTCTCTTTCTGTGTGGCCAAACACACACTTGTTTTCCAAATGTTTGCTGCTTTTCACCTACCAGTGAATTGGCTTCCCTGCCTTTGAAGTCCTTGACTCTCCCCAATCCCAACATCTTCTTTTGTCTTTAGCTGAGGGTGGTATTAGGTGAGAGCTTCAGCCATTTTGACCAGTTACTACGTTTTCCTGGGTTTCTCCTATGTATACATGTTACTAAACTTTTGTTTTTCTCCTGTTAATTTGCTCATGTCAATTTAATTCTTAGACCAGCCAGAAGAACCTAGAAGGGTAGAGGAAAATTTCTTCCTCCCCTACAGTACTTACACAAAACTAGATGGTATAGCCTACTACACATCTAGGCTATATGGTACTAATCTTATGGAACCACTGTCATTCATGCAGTCCGTTGTTGACTGAAATGTCGTTATGTGGCACATGACTACTATCCTTTGTCTGTTCCAGACCCCAATCCAGGATCCCACATTGCATTTAGTCATCATCAGTCAGTGACAGTTCCTCAGTCTTTCCTTGTTTTTCATGACCTTAACAGTCACTTAATATCTTTCATTCTGAGTTCCTAACTTGTCTGATAATTAAAACTACAATCCCTGCTTTCTTTATTTGCATTTGACTGGTTTACCTTTGCCCTTTCTTGTATTTTTAACCTTTCTGAATCAATTTGTTTTAGTTGACTATCTTGAATACAGGAGTTGGGTTTTGCTCAGTGCCCCAGTGGAGAAATGGTTTTCTTTAAATAGGTGAGCTAAGGCCATTTATATTTATTGATACAAAAGATGTTTGGTGTTAATATTGTCATATTATTTTAAATTTTATTTTTAGCCAAATGTTTATATATTAAAAGCATTTTACTATATAGTCTGTTTTGTTTGATTTTTTTTTTTTTTTTGTAGTTATCCTAACATTTAGAAAAGTTTACATTTTGGTCTAGTGGTTAATTTTAAGTATCTTGTTTTTTGTTACTTTTTTCTAATTGTTGCTAATGTAAGGAAATACTATTGAGAGCCAGCCCTGGTGGCCTAGTGGTTAAAGTTCTGCGCACTCTGCTTCAGCAGCCCAGGTTTGGTTCCCAGGTGCAGAACCACACTGCTCTTCTGTCAGTAGCCATGCTGTGGAGGCAGCTCACATAGAAGAATTAGAAAGACTTAGACCTAGAGTATACAGCTATGTACTGGGGCTTTGGGGAGGAGAACAAAAAAAACAAATACTATTGATTTTTATAAGTGGTTTTCTACCCGGCAACCTTGCTGAACTCTTTTTAATTCAAATAGTATGTCTGTTGAATGTATCGGTTTTCTCTCTTCTCTTCCAATCCTTTCTTTTTTTTCCCTTTATGGTATTGAACAAGACTTCCAGTTCTGTGTTAAACAGTAGTTGGTGAGAGAAAGTATCTAGTTTTATTCTCAATCTTCAAGGAAATGCATCTTTAGTTTCTCCATTTTGTGTAAAATATGCTGTAAGGTTTTGGTATCCTTCACCAAGTTAAGAAATTTGCCTTCTATTCCTAGTTTGCTAAGAGTTTTCATCATAAGTAGGCATGTGACATACTTTTTCTACCTTATGTGATTATTCTCCTTTAGTCTACTAATGTGGTAAATTACATTGATAGAATTTCTGAGTTGAATAAATTCTCCTTGCAGTCTTAGAATAAACTCCATTTGATTGCTATGTATTTTTAACATATTGTTGGATTTGATTAGCTAATATTTTGTTTAAGATTTGTGCATCTATATTCATAAGTGAAATGAGTCTATAATTTTCTTTTATTTTATTGTCCTTATCTGGTTTAGAATCAAGATTTCAAGATTATACTAGATTGTACTAAACTAATAAAATGAGCTGGGCAGCTTTCTCTCTTTTTCTGTTTTCTGGAATAGCTTGTATAAGAAGAGAAGTAACTATTCTTGAGAGTCTGGCACAATATACCGGTAAACCCATCTGGGCATGGATTTAGGGGGAAGGGTGGTCCTTGTCTACCATTTCAATTTCATTAATGCTTAGTGGTATATTCAAGTTTTCTACTTCTTCCTATCCCATTTTTGTCATTTTATATTTTTTTACGAAAAAATTTTACCTAGATTTTCCAATTATTTCTGTCTAGTTCCTAACAGTCAGGTTTCTTGCTTGAGTACCTGGTGGTGCCTTCACAGAGACAAGGGTCATTGGAGAAGCAGTATGTTTATCATTTGGGGGCAGAGGGAGTTGGGCTACTGTAGCACTTCTAGCAAAGCAGTGGCTATGTGTGCTTCTCTGTTGCTTTGGATATTTTTGACTGTATATGAATGTGTGTGTTTATACATGATGCTCTGAGGTGTTTATGTTTCTACAAAAATATCAGACTGAAAGAGAACAGTTTTTCAAAGGGAAATTAGCTGGATGATTCCCCACGTAGCTATTTTTCTATATCTGTTCACATGGATCCCTCAGGGGAGCTGCGAGGGGATAATTCCATGGGTCTCTCAATGTCCCTGTGTACGTCTGCATCTGTGCCAGTGGGGGATTCATTCTGTGTGCTTTTCCACGTCTCAGAGTATCTGCAACTATGAGGGTTCGTGATTCTGTATCTTTATGTCTCTGCACATGTCTCCGTCTCTAAGGGCAGGGGATTCTATATGCATCTCTTGTGTTTCACTGTAGAAATATATGCATGGAGTGCACATGCTACGTGGCAAGTTCAGACTCTCCAAGTCTGGAAGAAACATTACAACAGGAAATGCTCTGGATTCCAGCTTCCGGATGGAATTTCACTCAGAAAAATACCCCTTCCTGGTCCTCCCAATAACTGCAGCATTCTTTGTCTTCCTTCAAGAGACTGAGTTGAGGGGGTTTATGCTAACCTTGACCTCAGAGGCCACGTCTTTCAGGAAGATTTGGCAGAGCCATGAAATTCCACACCCTGCCACTCGTCTCTTGCCAGGCCTACTTCTTCCTCCTAAACCCTTTTATAGCTCCACATTATCTACCAGACCACTTCCAATCTCAATTGTCCAGAGAGGCCAGAAGAAGACACAGGAAGATGAGGACAAAGAAACAGAATGAGATTTTTTTAAGGAAATAAACAAAGATAGATATGGGGACAGAGGAACAGATAGATGAGGACAAGTGATAGAGACAGAGACCAAGAAACAGGGCCTGAAAGATGGGAATCAGAAATGGGGATAAAGAAACAAAGAAGGATGGGGGCAGAGAGATATACAGAGAGATGGAGTGGGTAGGGTGGAGAAAGAGATACTGACAGAAACGAGGCGGGAATGCAGGGAGAGAAAGAGATGGGGACAGAGACAGATTGGGGTCAAAGAGGCAGCTACATAGAAGACAGGACAGAGAGAGAATAACAGCCAGGGAGGGAGTAACTGAGATGAGATAAAGATAGAAATGGTGATGACGATGAAGAGGAAGAGGTTGATGACGTAGAAGCTAACATTTTTGCGTATGTGTTATGTCTGAGGCATGGTTCTGCGGGCTGTACATGTGTTAGCTCATTTAATGCTCACAGTAACACTGTGAAGCAGGTGCTATTATCAGCCCTGCTTTATAGATGAGGACACTGAGGCACAGCAAGTCAGTGGCACTACTAGGATTGGAATCCAAACAGTCTAGCACCAGTGGCCATTCTCTTGACTACTCTGCCAGTGATAGAGAGACAGAGGGACAGGGAGCTGGGGACAAGATAGCAAACGGATGAAACACACATAGGGATGGAGAGATGGAGACAAGAGACAGGCACAGGAGCAGAGTGACCCAACAAGAGAGATGGTAACAGAGATAGAAAAGGGGTGATAGAGAGATAAGGAGAGAATCAAATAGGGAAACAAGGGCAAGAAGACCAACATAAAGGTGTGTGTGTGTGAGAGAGAAACAGAGACAAAGAATGTAAATGTTGGAGGGGGAAGATGAAGACGGAGATGGGAACAGTAAAGTGAGAACAGAGAAAGATAGATGAGGAACAGTGAGAGATGAATGCAGCAACACAAATAGAAAGATGAGGACTGGGAGACAGCCAGAGCTAAGAGAAATAGGGACAGAGTGGTGGAGACAAAGGGCGGACAGAAAAGAGGCCAAGGAGCTGAAAGAAATTGAAAGAGAAAGAAAAGACAGAAATTTTGGAACACAAAGAAATTAAGAAACAGGTGAGGTAAAATTATATATTATATATGTGAGGACAGAGACACAGACCAAGATGGGTTAGACGGTGACAAGATGGAGACAAGATGACCCTCAACACAGACAATATAAAGAGAGTGAGAGCAAGAGCAAGAAAGGGAGAGAGATTGAGAGAGAATATTAAAGACAGGACAGGGAAACCGCAAGAGAGATGTAAACAGAAAGATGAGAAAAAGCAAAATAGAGACAGAGATGGGAGATGTCTGAGAGGTTGCGACAGTGATGATGAACTAGAGGGAAGAGACAGTAAACAATAAGAAAGAAACAGAGACAAAAGGATGAAGTCATTTTAATTGAACAACTATTCACAAGTCTCTCGGGTATTTCAGGGCTGGCACTGGGCTAGGTGGTGCCCACTTGACTGTGAGCTCAGGAGGGAAGGGCCTGGGTGTTTGTTATTCGCTACTGTATCCTACACCCACAACATAGTCCCGATCATGTGGAGGGCTACCGTTTATTAAACACTAGGTACCGGGGAATGTGCATGCATTGCATGGATTATGTCATCGAGTCCTCACAACTCTAGTGTAATAGGTATTATTATTATCATCCCCAGTTTACAGATGGGGAAACTGAGAATCAGAGTGATGAGTAACTTGTTCAAGGCCACACAGAGGAGCTAGGAGTGAAGCCTGGACCAGTGGTGAAAGCATGTCGCGGACCAAAGATTAGGATGAATCCTGTTCTGCCTGCTCTCCCAAGGTGCAAAAAAAAAATTCCAGTCTGTCTGATTCCAAGGCCTACATATATGACTACCGTGCCATACTGCTTCAGTGAAGACTTGCTGACAGACTAATGGAGGACTGCTGAGCCAAGGTAAGTGTGTCCTGACTCCTTACCCTCTGGAGCGCCCTCCATCTAGTGAAGGAGGCTGACCTGGCTAGCTTAAAGAGACTGGGAAAAGTCCTATGAGTGGCAGGTATAAAGCCCTGTGGGAGAACTTTGCCTGGAAAAATCAGAGAAGGCTTCCTGGAGGGGGAGGAGGTAGTTCAAAGTGGCCAGAGGCAGGTTTACATAGAAGTCAGTGAAGCTTCAGGGCCCCTCATTTGCACAGGTCCCTTCCAAGGCCCTGGTTAACAACCAGTGAAAATCAAAGAGGGCTGAAGATCTGTCACTCTACAAGAAAAGTGAAATGCCCTGACATAGCTCATACATGAAAGAAACTAAACCGAGGTTTTCCCAAATTTGACAGCAGTCCTAAAAATGTACAATATTGTGCCGCTGAAACTTTTCTAAACTATCAATAGTAAAAAATTTCTATAAACCATGCTATTAAGAAAGACTGACTAATATTTCTATTCTCTCTGTAGAAAATGACCTCACCTCATGCTTCAGTGACAAAATAGAAGCCCTTGGACATCTAGAATTGTTACAGGGCCTTCATCTTCCCACCAAAGAGTCTCTAAACCGCCCAGTATCTGTGTTCCATACTTGTCTTGTTCCTTCCTGTTACAACAAGGGGCCCAGGGAACTCTCCTCTGCTCTGAGGCCCGGTGTCCCCGATCCCAACCCCTCCTTTCCCTTGCATTATCCCCTTTCTCTTTGTCCTTTCCCTCTCTACTGGATCATTCCTAGCAGCAAACAAGCACAGTCTAGTATCTCCCATCTTAAAAAAAAATCATTCTTTGACCCTCCTCATAACATCGCCCTATCTCGCTGGGTTCTTTTCCCATTCAAGGGAATTGCCCACACCTAGCTCCACTTCAGCGGGGTGGGGGGATGTGTTCTATTCTCTCTCCCCTCTAGGAGGGTCCTCTAACAACCTACACTCCTACCAACATTTGATCCAATTATTCCTGTTTTTTTTTAATTTTATTTTTCATGATATAGATTATAAATTTTAGAATATAAATATCTGTACAGTTTGAATAAATGATAAAACAAATATCTGTGTACCTGTCACACAGCTTCTAAAACAGATAATTTTAAACAGATAATTTTGTTTTCTGCTTTATCTCCCCAAATCCCCCTAGTACATAGTTGTATATCTTAGTTGCAGGTCCTTCTAGTTGTGGCATGTGGGACGCCGCCTCAATGTGGCCTGACGAGTGGTGCCATGTCCGCGCCCAAGATCCTACCCGGCGAAACCCTGGGCCGCCGCAGCGGAGCACGTGAACTTAACCTCTCGGCCACGGGGCCAGCCCCTAAACAGATCATTTTTTGAATAACAAAATTCCCCTGTGTAGCCCTCCCCAGTCACATTTCCTTCCCCTCCCTAAGGTAACCACAGTCCTGAATTTTTCATTCCTTGCTTTTCTGTATGGTTTTACAACACATGACTGTATCCATATATTATGTAATTTTGCATGTTTTTCAACTTTATATAAACGTATTCTTTCATGACTTTTTTGAATCAGCATTAGGTTTCCTGAGTTTCATCCATGTTGATACATGTAGCTAGAGTTCATTCATTTGTTATTTTGTTATAGTATTCAATTATATAAATGTGTCAATTTATTCATTCCATGCTCTTATTTTCGTTTCTTGCTGTTACAAACAGGCTTTGGTGAACATCCTTGTAGTGTCTCCCAGTACACATGTGCAAGGATTTCTCTAGAAGAGCAATTGTCAAACTTTTTTGGTCTCAGGACTTCCTTTACATTCTTAAAAACTACTGCAGACCCCAAGAGCTTTGATGTATGTGGGTTATATCAATTGATACTTGCTGTATTAGAAATAACTGAGAAAGCTTAAATATATTAATTTTGAAATAACAATAATAAACTCATTACATTTAACAGAAATAAAATATCTTTATGAAAAATAACTATTTTCCAAAACAAAAGAATTTAGTGAGAAGAGTGGCATCATTTTACATTTTTTCGAATCTCTTTACTGTCTAGCTTAATAGAAGACAGCTGGATTCTCATATCTGCTTCTGCATTCAATCTGTTATGATATCACATGTCGTGTAGCCTCTGTAAAACTCCACTCTACATTCTTGAGAGAATGTGAGTAAAAGAAGCAAATAACATCTTACTAATATGATTTTGGCTCCCCTCTACCCGTACCCCTGCCCCCAGGATCCCCAAACTACACTGTGAGAACTGCTGCTCTGGGATATATACCTAAAATTGCTAAGTCATAGGGTATGTGCATCATTCAGCTTTACTAGAAAATGTCCAACTTTTACTAGAGTGGTTGTATCAACTTACACTCCCACCAATGGTGTATCCATTCACTCTTCATCCATTCTGGTATTCACCCCCACCACTCCTCCAAAACTACTTCTGTCAAGGTCACTGTGACTACCCATGTTGCCGTATCTAATGGACCCTTTTCAGTCCTCATCCTAGTTGACTTCTCAGCACTCTTGAACATCCCTGACACACCTCTAGTTATGTCCCTATCTCTTTACCTCTTTCTCAGTCTCTTTGCCCCCTCCTGCTCCTTCACCCAACCTCTAAAGTTGGAGTTCCCTGGAGCTCAGTCAAGGATCCTCTCTGTTTCAGACTGACCTCTTCTCTCATGGCTTTTAATGCCATCTCTATATTGACGGCACTCATTTATATGTGAAACCCAGACCTCTCCCCTAGGATGTATATACCACTACCTGCTTGACTTCTCCACTTGGCTGTCACAAGGGCATGTAGAACTGAATTCTTGACCTTCCCCTGAAAACCCGTTATTCTTTCTGTCTTCCTCATCTCAATGACTGACCTGGCCCCACATCACCAGATCCCTGGGAGACATCCTTGATTTCTCCCTCTCCCTCTCACCCCCAAGCCACAACGCTAAGCCCTTTCAACTCCAAAAATATCTTAAATCTGTCTACCTCTCTTCATCTCCGCCACCACCACCTTAGTCTACTCACCATCATCTCTGATTGTAGTAGGCTCCTAATCTTGTCCACCTGTAATTCAATCCACAGCAGCCAAAGTAATCTTTTTAAAACATTAACTATACCATGTCAATCCCAAACTTAAAACCTTTCGATGTAGTGTATTTCAGCATTTAGGGGACATGAAGGATCTACAAAAGAGCTACTACTTCATCATGATCCAGTTCATATAATACAAACTGAAACAAAAGTTTCTTGAAACATATTTACCCTTCTTCCTACATGATCTCATGATACATTCTGATATTTTCTGTTCTTTTCTCAAATTAATTTCAGTACCTTCTGCAGTTTGACCCACATTTAAAAGTACTGCTTCAATACCTTTCCATTGCTTGTAGAATAAAATCCATTCTCCTTATCATGGCCTATAAAGTCCTGCATAATCTGGCTCATGCCTACCTCTTCGACCTCATATCCCAGCCCTCTTGTCCTCAGCTAAGTATGCTCCAGCCACATTTACTTTCCTGCAGTTCTTGCAGTATACCCTTTCCCTTTCTCCCCAGGGCCTCCCCACTTGCTGTATCCCCTGCCTGGAATACTTTTGCCTGCACTCATCATCTGCTAACTCCCACTCCTTCATGCCTCAGCTTAAATATCAGGCCTTGCCTAACCCTTCAGGCTAAATTGCTCCCACCCGTTATGCTCTTTCCTATCACCCTGTTCTGTCCCTTTATAGTATTATCACAATTTGTAATTATGTGTGTTTATGTGTTGTAATTTTGTGTGTGTTTACTTCACGTCCTCCCCAGCACCAAACTGTAAATTCTGAGGGCTGAGTTTGCTCACTGCCATCTTGTTTGTGTGTGTCTTATTCACTACTGCATAACTAGTATCTCACATGGTGCCTGGCTCATAGTGTGTGCTCAAAAGACATTCATCAAATGAGTGGAGATCTGAAGAACAAATGAAGTGAAATTGGGGAGATGTGGAGAGAGTTTCACACAGAGGCAAGAGCATATGCAAAGACTCAGAGGCTAGAGAGACTAAGGAACAGTCTAAAAATGTCAGCTTTGACTCACATGGAGTCTGGACAGGCTGGCAGGGGCCAGATCATGAAGGGCCCAGCTTAACCCTCCCTGTTGAGGAAGGCAGGTTTCCTTTTGAGCCAATGAGGATTCCTTGAGGGGTTCTAAACATGAGAGTGATATAATTTGATTTACCTTTTCAAAAGATCACACTGCCTACAGTGCAGAGAATAGATTCCAGGGAACAAGACTGAAACAGGGAGGCTGTGACAGTATCATAGGTTAGAAATGATGCTGGCCTTGACTAGGATAATGGAAGCAGAAATGAAGAGACTGTGTAAATAAATTTGAGAGGTATTCAGGAGGTAAAAATGACAAGACTTGGTGATTGCATGGGGGTAGAGGAGAGGGAAGAGTCAGGGTTGTTGCTCAGGTTTCTGGGGTCATTCGCTAATGTACAAAGAGGGGACAAAGAGGTTTGGAGGAGGATGGCTTGAGTTGGGGAGAAGCTGAGGTTTTAGGTGTTTCTGGGGTACTCAGAGCTGTCTACTAACTAATTGAATGCACGGGTCAGGAGAAATATCTGGACTTAAGGTATCGATTTGGGAGTCGTCAGCAAAGGGATAATAATTGAAGCCATGGAGGTGAATGTGATAATTGAAGGAAAGAATATAGAGGAGACAACAGAGCTCAGGCCAAAGCCCCAAAGAGCACCAAGCTTTAACGGTTGGACAAGAGGGGCCTGGAAATTAAAAAGGAATTACTAAGGAAATAGGAGGAAAGTGAGAGCATGGATTCATGGAAGTGATTTAAGGAGGAGGGAGTGGTCACCAGTGCCAAATGCTACCAAGAAGTCGAGCAGGATAACCTCTGAAAAGAGTCTATTGGATTTAATGGCACAGGCCATGGGGGACCTTGATGAGAGAGCAGTATCAGGCAAGTAGTGGAGGCAGATTGGAGTGGGTTGAAAGATATGTGGTAAGTGGGAAAATTAAGACAGTTAAGTATAGATGACTTTTGAGAAGTTTCTAGAGAGAAGATAGGGGAGGTGGTTGAAGAGGGAGACTTTCTGGGACTTTCTGGTAATTTGTTTTTATTTTTTTCCCAAAGATTTTATTTTTTTCCTTTTTCTCCCCAAAGCCCCCTGGTACATAGTTGTGTATTCTTCGTTGTGGGTCCTTCTCGTTGTGGCATGTGGGACGCTGCCTCAGCGTGGTTTGATGAGCAGTGCCATGTCCGCACCCAGGATTCGAACCAACGAAACCCTGGGCCGCCTGCAGCGGAGCCCGCGAACTTAACTACTGGGCCACGGGGCCAGCCCCAGCGTTTTTTGTTTGTTTGTTTGTTTGTTTGTTTGTTTTATAAAGATTAGCACCTGGGCTAACAACTGTTGCCAATCTTTTTTTTTCCCCCTGCTTTATTTCCCAACCCCCCCGGTACATAGTTGTATATCTTAGTTGCAGGTCCTTCTAGTTGTGGGATGTGGGACGCCCCCTCAATGTGGCCTCACGAGCGGTGCCATGTCCGCGCCCAGGATCCGAAACCTGGGCCACGGCAGCGGAGCGCGAGAACTTAACCACTCGGCCACGGAGCCGGCCCCTGGTAATTTGTTTTTAGATGGAAGAGAACTGAGTGTGTTTAGATGCTGATGGGAAGGAGCAAGGGAGGGACTCTAGGTTTGGTGGCAAGAAGTCAAGAACTTCCTTTTCCATGACTTATGTTTACTCTCTGAAGTAGGAGGTGAGGTCATCTGCTGAGGGTTAGGGGGCAGATGGAGAAGTTGGGGGTGTGAGGAGAAGGGAGGTTTGAAATGGCTGTTGTGGAGTATGGGAGAGAGAGCTGCCTAGGGACACACAGCAGAGTTCTGTGTCAGAACTGAGGGCCTGGTACAAGCTGGAGACTGTGAGTTTATAGTGGCACAAATCTGTGAGGTTGAATAGTTTTCTCCAGCAGTGTTTAGCTGCCTGGGCACAGGTATGGAAAAGGCGGACAGTTGGACTGATCCAAGGTTTTGATGTTGCCAGGCCGATGCGACAATCCTGGGAACTGAGTTATTGGCAAGAGAGTGGGGAAGAAAAGGACCATGAAGTCTGGTCTGAGCAGAGTGAAGAGTATCAAAGACAAGTCCTCTGTGAGCCAAGTTGTAGGGAAACTCTGGAACATGTGGAAAGGCTTCTGGAA